TCAAATGATGAGCTAGTTATCAAAAACATCAAGAAAGTTATATAAAGATTAAGTGAAAATTAAAATACAAAAACCTAAGAAATACAATAAAAATAATTCCAAGAGAGAATAACTGCATAAAGAAAAATACAACAAATCACAAGTAAGTAATGATGAAATTTTTTGTCTTTGGAAAAGCAGATACTGAATGTCTCCATTCTTCACTCTATGATTTTTTTTCCTTTAAGGCAGTCTCCTACTTAACAGAGAACTGGGCTAGTAACCATCAAATGATTTCTTTCCACCCTCTAGGGTGATAAGTCCACCGGTGCATGTAGCCATGCACTGGGGTCCAAGCTCAAGGCCCATTGGCAAACTACTGAGTCATTTCTTCAGTCCCCACTTTATCTACTCCTATTCATTATAGTATTTGAAGTTTTACCTAGAGCAATAAGTAAAAGAAACAAGAGAGAATCCAGTAGGTGAAGTTAAAATATCCTTATTATTTTATTTAAGAAAAATCTTGCTTCATATGTCAATCCCAGATTCCTCTCCCTCCCTTCCCCGACCAAGACCCCAGCCTCCCACCCAATTCCCACTCTGTTCCTCAGGGACGGTGAGGCCGTCCATGGGGCATCTCCAGAGTCTGTCATTTCGTTCAGGGTAGGGCCTAGGACCTCTCCCAAGAGTCCAGGCTGAGCAATAATCCCTCATTGTGGGATGGGCACCCAAAATCCGTTTGCGTGCCAGGGATAAATGCTGATCTACTACCCAAGGTCTCATAGATAGCCTAGGCCTCCTCACTGACACCTACATTCAGGGGGTCTGGATCAGTTTTTAGATGATAAACTACACATAAAAGACTCTAAAAATATCACTAGAAATCCTCAATTCTGACAAACATTTTCAGCAACAAAACTAATATATATAAATCAAAAGTTTTTTTGAATAATTGTAATGAAAATACTGAGAAAAGAAAGCAGGGAGTAAGCCATTTATATTTTCCTCAACAAATATCTAGCACTAAATCTAACCAAAAAATTGAAAGGTTTTACAGTGAAAAATTTGAAAAACTGAAGAAAAAATTAAAATAAGACACTAGAAGATGGAAAGATCTATCATGTACAAGATATGCTCATAAGAAAAGTTTTATGAAACATACTGCCATGTATAATTAACGCACACAATGAATATATTTTAAAATTTTATAGGATCACTTATTTTGGTAAATGCTAGGGAAAAATATTTGTGGTCTCATCAACCAAGACAATGAATTTTGACAACAGCTTGCCTCAAACTAGGTGCTTTGTCCAGATACAGTCACATTTAGATTTAGTACAGTTAAACCTGGCTGTCAGTTATCTACCATGCATTGATAGACACACAAAAGAAAAGTGGCTTCCTTCAGGCATGAACTACAGAATGTAAAAGAAAATACTTTGTAGACCATCTCAGTTTATCTTTTATTATCCACAATATTATTTATTCATACTTAATTTATTATTTATTCAAAAATCATTGTGATATGCAAAATATTACCCCATCAATATGTTAGCAGTTCTATGCCAATAACAAAAAAGGTAATGTGGTTCATGCCTGTGGCTATCCCAACCTTGCTTCTTTTCTGTCTCCTACCTGCTTCCAACTTTTCTTTTATATTTGACTTACATATTATATTTTTAAAGACTTACCCTAAACCTTGTGACTTGGAATATTTGATCTGCCAATCCTTAGTTCTTTGGAACTTCTGTGAAAAGAAGAAAATTTTGTCAATGAGGAGCAAGCTCAATTAATGCATCATGTTTACTAGTACCACATGAAATGGCATTGCTTAGAAGAAGTTCTTTTTTGCTACTTATGTAACAAGATAAACTATCAGTTCAGGTTACTACCTGTTGAATGAGTTCTTAAAATGAAGAAAATCCTTATAATGTTTTGTCTGTTCAGTATTTTAGCAGACCCCCATTGATGAATCAACCAGATATAAAGGAGATAATGGAGTCAATAGTCAATCTAGTCTCTACATTTTTAGTTAGGAGAGAGTCCGATAGAACAAGGGAATGCATTAAAAGTAGCCCTATTGGTTAATAGTGTCTATAGATGTCATTTCACAGAAATGACTGTTGTGTTTATTCCAAGACATTGCAGGGATATTAATGTGAGTCTTCATAATAGATTGAAATTAAGCTAAACTTGCATCTTCCAAATAGGAAAATTATTTAAACCTTATAAAAGTAAAATATAAGCAACAGAATGGATAAGTATAGGATTTACTATGAATTGGATAAATGAACTCAGGAATCTGTAGTGTATTTTATTACTTGAAGTAATATGGTATTAAATGTTCTGTTGTGGTAGAGTTAAAACACTGTCTAGCCATTAGAAAAGGGTAATATGCTTACTCAAGATCTAAAGAAAGTTCATAGCCACTGATAGTCACTTGAGGGTTCATGTCCACTGGAAGATACATGAGTGATGCTTACATCAGTATTTTCTGTAACAAATTCATACATAGTCTTAAGATACATGTACATAAATCCGTGTATATAAAATCACTAAGACACAGTAAAATGCATAAACAATTTGCCTCAGATTATCACTGATGTGTCACAAATGCAATTCAAAATACTTTATGACTAACTTGAATAAGGATATAGAAAACTTGTCAAATTTGTGCTACATATCATTAAATAATGTTTTTAAAATGACAACATTTAGGGTCCATAATCAAATTTAACAAGCTGACATTTAATAGGTTAGTAAGATGGCTTACAAAGAAATGCAGATTAATATCCACTGTTATCATATTATGGGAAAAGTCACACATGCTGTCTGTTTTCACTCCAGATAACTGACCTAGTCCAAAAAATACCACAAATATTATAGCGCAATAAAAACGTCATTATAACAACTAAGCTCAAGCTTTATTTTTGGATACTGTATTACACTTTTGTAAGATTAAGGAAACCCTGAACACTAGAGATCAATCTTGTGCTCCTAGTGGGATATAAAAAAGGATGCATATTAATATGTATATGTATGGGGGAAAGAGACATGTAGAGATAAAATCCTTCATAAATTCTCCATAATACTTACTTAGAAATGATCAGAAGAAAGGTGTCATGTTCTTCCCTATTTTTCATTCTCCAACAAGTGAATTGGTGTTTATTTTATTAGGAGAAAAAAGTGATTTCTCATTGCATTGTATTTCGTGTATTTTCATACATTTATTTTATAGAAAATTATGTGCATTTATGCTAAGAAATCTAATATTAGACAGGGTATTTAAACGAGACAGTGAATAAATGCTTGTGAGAAAGTCATAAGAAAATAGACACTTCAAGGTTAAAATACTTTAAGAGACTTAGATTTCTTGCTTAGTACTTAAGTTCTGAAAATTGAATAAAATTTTCTTTCCATTGGTAATTATTTCTATGATAATATATAACATTATGTACTTCATTGATATGAACGTTTTGTCTTCATATACATTTGTACTCCAGAAGAGGACATCAGATCCAATGGGACTCCAGTTATAGATGGTTGTGAGCCATCATGTAGTTGCTGGGAATTGAACTCAGGACCTCTTGATGGCCAGCTACTGTTCTGAACCCCTGAGTCATTCCTCCAGCCAGGAAATATATAAATTTGATTCTGGTATTAATTGTAACTCACTGTAGCTGTTTACTAGTCTCTCTACCTTGTTAATCCTTGAGAATTCTCCTGAAAAATAACTAGTAAAATTGTATCATTGGGAAAGCGATTTTAATTATTAGTAGCCTCAGTAACACAATTTTCTTTTCCATAGTTGTTTCATATTATTACCAAAAGGGTCCCCTTCCTTCCTGAAGCTGAAGCTGGGGATGCTGACACTGAAGCTCAAGCTGAAGCTGGGGTCACAGGAGATTGGGGCCTGGAAGGGCTGATGCCTTTCCTATGTGGGCAGGCCTTTTGGATGCCAGGAGCAGGCCCCTGGAAGATTGAGGGAATGGGTGTTGGGCGGGAGATAGGGAGTGTCCCCCACCCCTCCCCCGGAGACCCAAGCTCACCTGAAGGTGGGATCACCAGAGGTTGGGGCCTGGAAGGGCTGATGCCTTTCCTGTGTGGGCAGGTCTTGTGGATCTCATTTTATAAATCTTAATATTTTTACAAAATAAATACTGCTTTTTCTTATGAAGTCACTGTTTTAGAATGTATAAACTGACAGAAGTCTTTGCTTTCTTAAGAGCTGTGTGAACACTGTGTATTTGCTTGGATTCAAATCATTGTATCTATGAGTTAACAGTTGCTGAGAGTCGTGCTATTTGATAGCACTCCTTGCTCTGGTGTAAGAATTTAGGGTACATTTCATTTGCAATGTAATGCCAACATGTACTTAAAAATGGCTTTAGTATATTGATTGTGTTTTATTCATTTCCATAGTATGTCAGTGTGCCAGAGGTAAAATATATTAGTCTTAGAGGATTTGTTTTTCAAATGGCCACATTGGCCAAGGAACAAGACCTTAGGTGGTGTCAAATTATTTAATGAATTGTCTGCAATGTCTTTCTTGAAGCCTTGAAGAACATCATTGTCCTATAACTGCTACCCTTTATGAGTACACATACATATGCAATATATTTCATTATAGTCTTTTAGGCACATTTTACATTCAAATATTCAAAAAAGAAGAGTTATTTATTGAATTGGTATCATGGATCAATTCTTCAAGTATTCTGAATTCCATTTGTATAACAAGAGTTTGAGAAGTATGGCAGAATTGTTGTCTCCATTTGATATACTATTTAGAGCCTCAGAAGGAATAATTAGTGATGAGGAGTTTTCAATCTTTATATGTATTGAATAGACTTATGGTTAAAATACCCTGATACAACTGAAAGAACTTCACATTTGACTGTTGTCTCTGCAAGTTCAGGATGATTCTGCAACACTGATTCTAATGTGATCCTATTACATATATTGATCTTTTAATATAATGTGTATATGTCTTTTTGTGTGTGTGTGTGTGTGTTTATCAACAGAAAATGACACCATCTATTGGACAGACATGGGACTTAATAAAATCAGCAGAGCTAAAAGAGACCAGACATGGAAAGAAGACATTGTTACCAATGGCTTGGGAAGAGTAGAAGGAATAGCAGTTGATTGGATCGCTGGTAAAAATCTATGGCTTATTCTTATTTTTATTCCACAGTTATTTTTTTGAGGGGGTTCATTCTTAAACTATTTCTGGTCCTTGTTTCTAATATCTTAAAAATTATTTCTAGCCAAAGGGGTAAATTCTCTACTTTGCATTTGGCTCAAATATTCTACTGCCTTTGGATAGTATTTTTATGTAGATGTAGAATGTGTGTATTGTTAACTTTGTTCAATTCTCCAGAGAGTTCCACGTGGTAAACAAAGTATAAGAAGTTTCCTTTTGCTAAAGTTAGAGAACAGTGAAAACACTGACTCTGAACTGTGGGAGAAGTTTCCACTTCTTTCAAACATGTCAGTATATACTACAGAGTTTATACTAGCAAAATATGAGATTGGGATTAAATCGATGAATTAATTTAATTGCAGCTGTTAAGTAAATACACAATCAAAGGAAGTAAACAAGCTCTTAGTGATGTGACGACTCAGAAACTTAATTTCAACCATACCTGAAAAACATTTCTATTACTCCTAACTTGATTGTAAGCATTTCTGTCTTTCTCCTAGGCAACATATACTGGACAGATCATGGTTTCAATTTAATTGAAGTTGCAAGACTCAATGGCTCTTTCCGTTATGTTGTTATTTCCCAAGGCCTGGATCAACCAAGATCTATAGCTGTGCACCCAGAAAAAGGGTAATTTTAAGATTTACATATATTTTCTGGGACTTAACTGTATTTTCTCAAGTTAAGTTAGGAAAATTTAGACAGTGGCATTATTTTAACTATAATATCTACAACATGATAATAGTTATAGAAATTTTTTTAATTTTATAAGTACCTATTTGAAAAATCATAGTTATAATGACCTTAAATTAATTTTTAAATTATTTAACACTTTTGTATAATATATTTTGCTCAACTTCATGCCCTGTTCCCTCTCTTATCTGATACCCATTCCCAATGAACACTTTCTACCCAACCATACCTGCTCCTACTTTCTAAGTTTTTTCTTAATTTTTGTTACCCAGTGAATTGAAATAGAGTTGACTACACATGGTAGAGGACACATGGGTAAACATCACATGATGTTTACCCATGGTTAAAACTGAAAAAACAACTGAGTCACCAACCCCAACAGTCATTAACTGCCAAGAGCAAGGCAGAAGAGGTAGGGCAAACAAAAACATTACATATTAATATATTTAATAATAAAGTATTTAGTCTATCAACTAGGACTTTGATAATGTCTATTCTATGAAATCTGTACCAGGTGATAGATTAAGATTTGTTTCTATAACTCCAGAAGCTTCTGATATGTCAGGCTTCAAAGAGAAAATTTGTTTTTAGTCCCAAAATAGTTCCCTTGATTGTTCTAATTTTCTGATCCTTCTAACCCATTTTCCTTTATGAATTATTTTTATTGGTCTATTTTTCTTTTTGTTGTATTGATTATACATATCAGTGTCATAGTGGCATTTTTACAATGCACATAAGACAATATGATATGTTTTACCAATTATTATTCTCCTTTAACTTGTTCGCATTCCTGATGATCCCCTTCCTCTTTCCAATTAGTACCCATTCTACTATGGTATCTTTTGGGAATGAGTTTACCCAATGAATTTCATTAGGTATATTTACAGGAATCAAAACAAGAGTTATTTACTGGAATATGAACATCTTACTAGAAGTTATTCTACCAAAGAACAATCTCTCTCTCTGTCTCTGTCTCTGTCTCTCTGTCTTTCTCTCTCTCTCTCTCTCTCTGTGTGTGTGTGTGTGTGTGTGTGTGTCTGTCTGTCTGTCTGTCTCTCTCCCTCTATCTCCCACCCAAAACTTGTCAGGAGAGATGGGTGGTGCATCTTCAGTCTTAGCCACCCCCATAAACAAGCATAAACTTTTTATAAGTCTGCGTATTTTTCAAAATGTTTCACGAGCCTTGGGGATGCTACCATTGTTCCAATTAGGGGAAGGCATTATGTCATTAATTCTCAGCACTTTCTCCATTTTTGAGTTTCTGTAATAATTGGTAACTACTACTCACTGAAAAATAAAAGCAAAGACAAAGATACAATTATGACCAAAGTTGACAGCATTATTAATGCATGAGAATAATCATAAATATTTAGAAGGCAACTTGAAAGGCACATCATGTTCACTTACCAAAACAAAGTCCATAGCTTCCCTGCTAGAGACTACACCCTCTCCAGCCATGACTTTTGACCGGATTTACTGCACTAGAAATAAATTCCTGCCTCTGGAGTAGGCTTCAAATACAATCAGAATGTGGTTATTTATGGTTGTTTATCCTCCAAAGAATTTATCCTCCAAATTACTAATGCACCAATGGGCACTTCATGTCTGGCAGGTCATTATTGTCACATAAAGAGTTCACAGCTAAATATGACCATGATGACATTTCTGCTCCAGCAGCCTGCACAGCATCTTCTAAAACTGTGAAAGCTAGCCTTCAGGGAAGAATCTTCCAGCCCAGTTCCAGCTTGGTTTCTCTGTGTCATGCAACAAACACATATCATATTTTCAACAATAATGTCTAACCATATAGTTCTTGTGAGTAACCAAGAGCAATAATAAAAGTAGTTTTGGAAGACTACAAGAATCTTCGAGGCTGATACTATCATTTAATAATGTTGTGGTTTCTGGGAGAAGCATAGTACATCCTATCCATTCAACAAGACACCATTCAAATTATTATTTATTTTTATATATGTTTAAAATAATTTTTTGTATAGTTCTTGTACCCACACTTATTTGTGCTGACCCTCTTTTCTTCTTTTATTTCTCAGATCCCTCAACCTATCTCCACTTAAATTTTCCCAGGCCTGATATTTCCCATATGAATTTTTCGATCCTTTCATGGGCTTCTTCATAGTTTCTTTACTTCTGTACACTTGCCTACATAAATACACATACAAAAATTAGAAACTAGGATCCACAAATAAGAAAAAACATGCAGTGCTTGTATTTTTGAGCCTGGATATATCACTTAATAATCTTTCAGTTTTGCAGTTTTTATAATTTCATTTTCCTTTACAGATGAAAAAATCAATCATATATATATATACATATATATATATATATTCATTGTCTGTTCATCCACTGATGGGCATCCAGGTTGATTCGTTTCCTTGCACTAAACATGAGTGTACTAGTATCTCTGACATAAGACCTGAAGCCCTTAGGGAGTGTGCCCAAGAATTGTATAGTTGGGGTATTTGATAGATCTACTTTAGTGTTTTGAGAAGCATCTTCACTGATTTTCATAGTGGCTACACCAGTTGAAACTGTAACCAATGGCGAATAAGCATTCCCCTTACTCCCTATCCTTTCCAGTATTTGTTGTCATTTGTTTTCCTGATGGTGGCCATTCTGATTACAGTGAAGTAGATTCTTTAAATGACTACAAACACCTTGGTACCCAACCCACAAAAAGACAATTAAGAAAGACAGCTATAGACCAATCTCCCTCATGAAAATTGATGCAAAAATAATAAAAGACTGGCAATTGAATCCAAGAACACATCAGAAAAGTCATCTACCATGATCAAGTAGGCTTCATCCCAGGGATGCAGGGATAGTTCAACACACTAAAATCCATCAATATAATCCACCATTTAATATGTGTTTTCGTACTGGGCATGAGTGTTGAGAAATTAAAAAAACTTATTGTAGAATTGTATATCTTCTTGAAAGAATTATTTGGTTTCTTTGACCATATTTCAGAGTTGTTTGTTTTCTATTTAGTATTTTACATAATATGGAAGGTAGTACTCTATCAGATATATATCTGTAAAATATTTTATTCTCTTTGATTTCTTAATATTAATGGTTTCCAGTGTTCATTTGCTTAATGTGTTAAATCTTTCTCCTAAACTCTACATTTTTATGTTTGACTATGTCCTCAGTATTTTCACTTGGAGGACCTACAAAATCTAGTACAGCAACATCAAGAACTCCATATGTAAATCCAGGAATGGATTTCTAGAATGTAATCCATGTGTTTCAGCCAAACTACTGTTTTTCACTTTTTCATCCTCTGAGGTGTGTGTGTGTGTGTGTGTGTGTGTGTGTGTGTGTGTGTGTGTAGAGAGAGAGAGAGAGAGAGAGAGAGAGAGAGAGAGAGAGAGAGAGAGACCGCGAGAGAGAGATACTTAAAGGAAACAGGAAGTGAGGGATACAAAGCTGACAGTTGTAATACATTTGCTCTTAAGTGAGGGGAGCCTTGAAAGGTAGTCACAGCACACAGCACAGTAGGACATCAGGAGACACAGAAGACATTACCCATAGAAGACTGAGTTCCAAGACAGCTTCTGTGTCCAGGGGGAACACTTTTGAAGGAGGTAGTCTGGAGCTAGATGTTTTCAGGTGACTCTTGAGTTGGTGGCTGGCCTGTTGAAAGAAGTGACAAAGGGAAAAGATGAACCAAGAGATGGCACATTCATAGGACCATCAGCATTATCCACTAATCCTGGGGTTGTCAGCTGTAGCAAGGTCAGATGGGAATGCTTTCAACCAGTGGGACCCAGTGTGATCCCAGAGGTCTCCTTCTTACTTCATGGAGCTTCCATGTTTTCCTCAGACATGGGTCCCCTACTCTTCTTTTTCATCACCTTAAAATTGTACTCCCAACGAAGTTCTTTCCTTTTGATTTCAAATGACACCAAAGTCCCTTATTTTTGGACAAAACAGAATTGTTTTATTTGTATCTCATTATTTACTTCTCAGCTTCTTAGAACTGTGATCTGGGCTTACTGTCTAACTGCTGACCCCTGTCCAACCTCTTCTGGTGGTGGAAATTCTCAGTATTCCCATGGCCTCATGATGAAGTAGTTTCTAGGTTTTACTCCCCTTGCTTTTTCTTGGACACTTCTCTCCATTTACTATGCTACCAAGAATTCACTTTTCTATTTCCTTCCCTTAGAAGCCCTTTTGTTTCTGGTCCTCCCTGTGGGCTCTAATGATTCCCTGAGCATCTTCACTGATTCTCTTTATTCTCAAAATGATAGGCTTTTTCCCCCTCATTTTAATTGTTATTTGAATTGATATCACCATGTGTTAGTCAGTGAATTGTTGTACAAGCCTGGAATCTATTAAATATCCATACACATCTGGGAAAATATTAAAATTAATTTCATCTTTCTTTTTCAAATTCCCTTTAGATTCTCTGACTGAACCACATGTTCACCCCTCACCTAATGACTAATTTTCTTAAACATGGAACTCTTTTAGTGTTATACCTAAAATGATTTAAATGTTGCGTATTCCTGGTTCCACACAAGTCATAAGCCATCCTGTCTACCCTCACATCCTTCCATTTCTCTCTGTAGACTTCTGTCAGACTCACCTGTTCACTGCACGGAGAGACCATGAGCTTATCAGGGACTTAGCAAGATGTCAGTAAATGGTTTTGACTTCCTACTCTTCAGTCCCTATCATAAAATTTACATTTCAGTTTATGAGCCAAGAACTTTTGTATTTATAACAATGTTAGAATATTCTTTGTGTACCCTCACTTTTTATTGAAAATATTTCATAAAAAATGCATGAAGGACTATGTTCCATGTTTGCAGTTAGGAGTAGAAATTGTTTATAGGAATAATTAATAGTACTTGAATGCATTTATTGATTTGACTCCCACGAAAAAGGAATTAAAATGTAATGTTTATGAAAATCATTCAAAATGATTTCGAAGTAATATTATCATAGAATTTTAAGAGCTAAAATTCCTATCTTAGAAATAAAACATAGTATTTTATAATTCTGTTTGAAATTGAAACATGGCAGGTGATACTGTCAAGGGAAAGGCAGAGCATAATAGAGCAAATTGGCTAAATTCAAGATATTAATTTGCCTTGTAAAGTAGGCATGAATCCTGTTTTGAAACAATAGAGACTTGCAGTTTTTTTAAATGCAGCCAAATGCAAAACAAGAACCACTTAGGAATTTAGTTCCTCTTGAAAAGTCAACTTTCTCCTCATGGACTTTTATACCTTTTGGCAGCTCCTTAGAATTGGGCACAATTGAATGTAATCATTTTCTTTATACTGAAAAGTCATTTACTGTGCCTGAAAAGTATGGGAAATTATGTCTTGGCATGGAAAAATTCGATTAATTGTGTATAGCATAAAATTGCAATTAAACAAAATATTTTATTCCTTTCTTAGACACCAGGATATATGTTGCCTGTTTTGACTGAGCATCATATCTCTGTTTAAGAGCAATTATTTATTTAAAAATATATGATTTTTCATATAAGTTTAACAAATAATAGTATTCAAAAAGATTTTATTTAAGCAGAATTTCACTATGGAATATTTAAATTTTCTATAATGAGATATTTTCTGCTATCAGTTTACCACATAAGCATTCTATAGTCCATTTTCTCAACCTTATCATTCACCATGATAAACATCTCCCAGCTATAAAGAATGACCTCAGTTGGGGCTCTAATTCCAGCACTGAACTGTTACTTTCCCCTGTGTGCTTTATGTTCCCAAAGGTTCTGCTTTTTCATGTTTCCACCTTTACTAATCACAGGCTTGAATTTGTACAGTATGATTTAATTTTGGTTCATTTTAAATCTCTTGACCATATAAATTGATAAGTTAACTCACCATAGAATCATCATCATGCATTTACATTTGGTATCCTTTAAGGTCTCTTTCACTTTTACATTTTATTTAGTTTTATTTTATTTGCATTGGTATTTTGCTTGTATGTATGTCTGAAGATTTATTTTGGATTTTTCCAGATAGGGTTTCTCTGTATTGCTTTGGAGCCTGCCCTAGAACTTGCTCTGTAGGCCAGGCTGGCCTTGAACTCACAGAGATCTGCCTGCCTCTGCCTCCGGAGTGCTGGGATTAAAGGCGTGCGCCACCAATGCCTGGCTAGACATCTCTTATTAAATCAAAATGTCTCAGGAAAAAAAAACATATGATGTAAAATTATTACCATTGGTAGAAAATTATACAACAAAGATAGTGGAAAATGGTTGGATTTGTTTCTTAGACTGTCCAGTGTTTAATCATATGGACAGAAAATATTCACTTTTAGAACCATCATTTCCATAGCTCTGAGAATTAGAGTTAAATACATGAAACAGCTTACTTAGACTACTTGTTCTGTAAGGTCCACAGAATGACATACAATTGTTGGTCATTTGGATTTGAATGGGTCAGTTCATCAAATTTATAACAAGCAAAAATAAAAGAATAAAAAGCAAGTAGCAAAAGGAACCTGGAGTGAATGAGACATCATTACATGAAGTACTCACAGCATGCCACAGAAATGAGTGAATTAACCTGTGGAGAGGAAATCCAAAGAAAGCATGATCAAATTGTGGGATCAACCCACAGAAATTGACTTAGAAAGGCAGCAGGAGTTTTAGTTTGAGAGAACCCTTGGTGGAGAAATGTCTCCTCAATCGAGACATCAAAGATGAAAACGGCAAATAAAACAAATAGCATCAGATAGGGACTATTACAATGGGTGCTTAGATTATTATCCAGCAGAGACTGGCTGGAAAAACTAGGACAGGTAGTTGAGAGAATCTCAAACAGACAGCACTCACCAGCTTCTCCATTGATGGACTTGGCTTTCCTTTTCACTGTAGATATTTTTTTAATTATAGGATAAATGGTAATCTTGTTTGAAAAGATCCTGCCTTCTAGCTGTCCTCAAGGACATAGTGTTTTTAACTTAACAATTTGCTGTTTTCCTTTCATTTTGCTTTAAAAGCTTAAGGACCCAGGGAGGGAGCTTTGGAGGAGAGAGGGACCCTGTGTTCCTGGAGTCTGCTTTCACCAAGCTTGAACATCAAACTATGATTTTGGTATAATGCATATTACACTGCACATTAAAATCATGCTTCCTTGTTCATTCAGTGTATTTGCAGACGGATTAGCACTAAGTAAAGGATTTATTATATGCATTCCCACCCCTTTGGAATATGTTAAAAGGTGATGGGAATGACTCTCCTGGGTGCCAGAGTGCATACATTGTAATCCAACAGTTCCTGCCTTTGTACAATCATGACATTTGTCTTTAGAGAATTAAATGTCATCATGCATTTGTCTACCAATTAATATTTTTAATATGTTGAAAGCATCACTTAAAGTCTTGACTTTATTGTATAGATTTTTATACCCTTTTAATCAGTTTCATACTAAAAATATTAGCTACATTTCCTACTAAATTTTTCTCTTTCTGAACTACAGAATTTGTAAATATATATGACAGTAAAGTAAATTTATATAAATATAAATGTTTTCAAGATACACATACTTAGAATTCTAGTCACATCTCTTATTATGTTGTAAAATATCAGCACATATATTTTATATAGATTTTTATGAAAGATCACTTATTAAAATAATTCAAAGTAACATGAATAAAAATAATGTGTATATTTAATCTTTAAGTGTTTGACGTTAATGAATGATTTTTGTGACTATACAAAAATAATCAGGCTTTGTTTAGGTTTCTTATATGAATCTCAGCAAATATCTCTTCTACAACTATACTAATTAATCTATTAATCTTCATAGAAAACACATACACAGGGCTGGAGAGATGGCTCAGCTGTTAAAGGTTAGGCTCACAACCAAAACTATGAGAAAACACATACACAGTATTGCCTGAAAGAATAACTATCAGATTTTTCTAAACTTTAGTTTTCCATAGGTGGAAAGCTTGTGTGTACATAATTTCATATTCACACTCATTTTTTCAACATGTTTTGCCTCATAATTTAGCTTCTCTTCCTGGATAACATATTCTTTCACATCAGTTTTTGAGATTATTAAAGCAAGATGCTTTCTTTCATAAGTGTGAAACCATCTGTTAGGATAGCATCACATGTGAACTTTTAAATTTAAATTAGAATAGTTACATTTAGGTGTTTAGGTTAAGGTTGAAAGTTACAATCATTGGTGTATAGATGCACAATCTGAATAATACTAAATTTAAAATTTAAATATCATAATTGTTGGATGCTATACATACAATTCTGCATAAAACATAGAAAAGCAAGCTAACAAAATGAAACACTGTTTCTATAGGATCCACAATGTAGTTGAGGAAAAATGTTCAAAATTGTTAAGGAAGCAAAGGAAGACCAGTGTAATGTTTCAGCATATTCTGTGTGCTCTGCTGTTGTGATGTAGGGTTGATGGTGCAGGAATAATCAAGGAGGCACCAGGGGCCTAATGAAGGAGAAGCTGAAAAAATTAGCCAACAATTTGGAGAAGGAAATTTCAGATAGATGAGCATATGTTATTGATTATTCCCAAGGTTCAAATGGTACATACTTAAATAAAGCAACTTTCTCTTTGCATTTTCTCCTAATTTTTAATTTTCATTTGATCAATATGTATTTGTCATTCCTGGAAACTTCATATAAATCAAATCCTAAAATATTTGTTTTTACTATATTCCATCCTTATTTCTGCATCTGGTTAAATGTTTTATAGTAAGATTCTATTAGTGACTGCAAATCTATTTGCAAATTAAGTTCTGTGGTTTATTATTTGGTTCTCTTATGAATATATTATACCGTTAGGAGCTTTGCTGTCATCTTACAGTTTTATTTGGTGCCCTTTAATCTGTTTATTATTATAAATGATTAATTTAATTTCAGCTTCTTGTTCTGGACTGAATGGGGACAGATGCCCTGCATCGGAAAGGCTCATCTAGATGGTTCTGAGAAGGTCATGATTGTAAGCATGGGAATAACATGGCCGAATGGCATCTCCATTGACTATGAGGTCTGTTGGATTACTTGTAATATTCTAAAGTGTGTTCATCTCCAGCTTGCAGTAGTCTGCTTTTAATGCATCCCTATTTTCTTAATAAATAACCAAAACAGCTTGTACTATTACTTTCAAATCACTATGTAGGAAAATAAATTATACTGGTGTGATGCTCGCACAGACAAGATAGAAAGAATTGACCTGGACACTGGCGGGAATCGTGAGGTGGTGCTGTCTGGGAGCAGTGTGGATCTGTTTTCAGTTGCGGTCTTTGGGGCTTACATCTACTGGTCTGACAGGTAATTTATTTTTTCATAAGTATTTGAGTCTCACAATGTTATTTCAGTGCCATTTCTTTGCCCTTGAATATTAGCCACCCCTTAGCAAGGTTACAGAAAGGATTTCATAAAACCGTGTAATTTTTACAGAAGAAGTCAGCAAGGAATTATAGCTATCCGTGGTCAAGCATTTCAACATCATATACTGAAACTAGTCTATTTTTTTCTGTTTGAGCCATCTCTTATCTTCAGTTTTACCTGACTTGATTTTAATTAGTTCATGACTGTTGATCCTGTATGTTTAACTTTTTGGCAGAGCACATGCTAATGGGTCAGTCAGAAGGGGCCCCAAGAGCGATGCCACAGAAACAGTAACCATGAGGACCGGACTTGGAGTCAACCTAAAGGAGATCAAAATTTTTAATCGAGTAAGAGAGAAAGGTCAGCACAGTTAATGAAATACACAATAAAAACAGTTTTTCATTTTTAAAAATTCAAAATTCATTTGTATTAAGTTCAAGTTCTCAAAATTCATTTTTTGATTATTTTCTTTCATAGAAATCAGATAGTTTATATACATGTATATTTCTTTTTAATGAGTCATGTAACATAGGACAAGTTTTGAGGATGGGTTATATTAATAAATATGTTTTTAAAATCTTGTTAAATATATTTGACAGAAAGTACAAAGGACAACTAGAGTATTAGAGAAGCAACTGAATTCTTTGTTTTAGATTATCTTTAAGGACAAAGTTGTTATGGCTCAGGAAATGTATGTTTTCAATGAGTGTTTCTGAATCATTGTTTCTTTGATAATGGTTTTGTCTATTATTAAATTATATTTACTCAATTTCTGTATATGAAAGAACTTTATGTAATAATTTTACAGATGACAATAATAAATTCAGGGCATAGATTCAGACACAAAGAAATAATAAGAGAGTACTTGATCTTTTAAAATTAGAGTCATTTTTGCTTTACATATAGGAGGTGTGGCACAAGAAAGCCATCCATTTGCAATTTCCTCTGTGCCTCATGGATACACTTAAGAGCATTACATGATTTCTCAGTTACTTCAGATTATGTTTTGAGTTAATCATTTACAGGTGCTAAAGACTATGAAATGTGAAACCTATCACCTATCATTTTAAAGCAATACTTTCAACTACTTTTTAAAGGAAATTTCTTTGAGTTTGGTTTTGGTGCTTAGGACTGATTTCAGGGCTTGATCCTTGCTGGGTGAAGGCATTGCCACTAATCTAAATACCTAGCCATAGTAAGTTAAATCTTGGTGCTTTTGTTTGATTTTGAATTAAATATAATTCACTTGAAATTCAAGACACTAAAATCTTTGATTTAAAATTCATTATTATTTTGTATTTAATTTTTATTGAGTACTCTTTAAAACTAAAATTATATTTAATGCTAAGTTGTAGTATTTCTGTCAGAGGTAGTATAAACTTGTTCAAATATTAAAATAATGATTGTATACTGGAGTGTCTTCTCTTTCTCAGGGACCAATGTCTGTGCCAAAAACAATGGAGGCTGTAAGCAACTCTGTCTATATCGAGGGAATTCCAGGAGAACCTGTGCTTGTGCCCATGGTTATTTGGCTGGGGATGGAGTCACTTGTCTAAGACATGAGGGCTACTTGCTATATTCAGGAAGAACAATATTAAAAAGCATACATCTTTCTGATGAAACCAACTTAAATTCTCCAGTAAGGCCCTACGAGAACCCACATTATTTCAAGAATATCATAGCCCTGGCTTTTGACTACAATCAAAAAACAGACGGTACAAATCGGATCTTTTACAGTGATGCGCACTTTGGAAATATACAGCTTATTAAAGATAACTGGGAAGATAGACAAGTAATTGTTGAAAGTAAGTACAAATTTTTAACATGTTTATGTGTCACTTCAGTTTAGAAAAAAAAGCAGTGGTATGTTGTGGAACAGTTTGCACTCACCACAGTTCATGCTCAAGAAGATCTAGGATTATGTCATCCATCAGTCCCCAAGTGTCAAAGCAGTAAGTACCCACATGATCTGTAAACAGTAGCTTTAATTATCTCTGCAGTGCTTTTAGCATCATGTTTGCTGCTTACAAGTCTTGTGATTTTGGGAATATGTCAGTACAAAATTGTTTTAATTGATCTTCTTCAGGTGTGGGTGAAATGACAGCATTAAAGTATCTAATGGTTTTCAGTTAATCATACTTTCTGAAAAATTATCTAACATCAGTGTTTGGCTGTATCTTGAAGAGGGGATGTTACAGAAGTGATTTGGTCTTGAAGATTCATTTAAGTGGGAAGAGAGATTTTCTAGCAAGCACAAGGTTCTAAGTTGTAAAATACACAAAAGGCATGGAAAAGAACGAACTTACTCTAAACATTCAAACTTTATGTTTCATTCAGTGTGAATTATCTACCCAATTTACAGGTGCCTCTTTTCTGTTGTCTAATATTAATGAATACCGATATCTTCACACACTCTTTGCTATGACTGTACAATTTCTATTTATTCCCTAATACTTATTTTCATTGTACTGAACCAGTCTTTGTATTATATATATATGTATATATATATTTTATTTTTAAAAATGTTTTATTCATTATTTATGTGTTCATTTAGTGTTTTTTTACTTTAATTTTAAATAGCTTGCTTCACATGTCATTCCCAGTTCTCTCTCCCTCCCCTCCTCCCACACCACCTTCACCATTACCCCCCAGGCTCCCACCCTAACCCCACTTCCTTCCACATAGGGATATCTAGAGTCTGTCATTTCACTCAAGGCAGGGTCCAGGCACTCCCCTAAGAGTCCAGGCTAAGAGAGCATCCCTCTTTGTGTTATGGATACACGAAGTCTGTATGCCAGGGATAAACACTGATCCATTGCCCAGGGGCCCATAGGTTGCCCAGGCCTCCTCACTGACTCTCACACTCAGGGGGTCTGGATCAGTCCCATGCTGGACTCTTAGCTCTTGGTCTGGGGTCCAAGAGCTCTCCCCTGTTCAGATCAGCTGTCTATGCTGGTTTTGCCAGCCCATTCTTTGTCAATTTGCTCATTGTTCCTCTCTCTCTGTCACTGGGTTCCATGGGTTCTGTTCAGTGTTTAACTGTGGGTGTTTGCCTCTGCTTCCATCAGTCACTGGATGAAGGTTCTAGGATGGCACATAGTGTAGACGTCAAGTTCATTATCAGGAAGAGGTATTTAAGGTGGTCTCTCCACTATTGCTTAGCTTGCCAGTTGGTGTCATCCCTTTAGATCACTAGAGGTCTCACTGGTGCCAGATCTGTCTTCTAACCTATGACTCCCTCTTTCATAGTATTTCTCATCCTGTATTATATTTTTAAATTAAAATATTGAGCACATATTTCAATAAACTTTATAAGTAATATGGTTTAGAGATGATGTGTGCTTCACTAATCTTAATATCATCTCATCCAGAGCTGAAAACTCACATTTCCTGTAGATTATTTGCAAGCCTATGTATCATCATCCTTAGTTATAAGAGTATTATTTATCAATGTATTAGACATATAGCTGCCTATAGTGACATATTGCAAATATTTATTTCAGTCCACAAATCTACGTTATTCTTTGGCAAGCACATACCCAACTTTGCACCAAGTATACAGCAACATTTATTCAATTTATTGATAAATGATTTATGTGTCTCATACATATGTATTAAATATTACAATTGATATATGTGTGTATAAATGTGCTCATTCATAAATGTACATATTTGTGCTAGAGATATAGCTGGAATTTGCCAGTCAGTGGTGGTGCATGCCTTTAATCCCAGCACTTGGGAGACTGAGGCAGGTGGATCTCTGTGAGTTTGAAGTCTACAAAGTGAGTGCCAGGACAGGTCCCAAAGCTACATAGAGAAACCTTGTCTCAAAAAATCAATAAAATTAATAATAAATACTGGAAGAAAAATTTAACTTGAAACCAAGTCAATCAGACAGTCACTGTGTATTTTATTTCTTATAGGTAGCTAAACAAATGTCCCATCAGGTTTTTATCTTTACCCATTGTCTGTATACATGATTATTTTCTTAAAGATTTTCCAATAATAGCTGGACAGTGGTGGCCCACGCCTATAATCCCAGCACTCGGGAGGCAGAGGCAGGCAGATCTCTGTGAGTTCGAGGCTGGGCTGGACCGATAGTCTCCAAAACAATACAGAGAAACCCTGTCTCGTAAAAACCAAAAAAAAAAGATTTTCCAATAATAATTTTATAATTTTTATTAGTTTACAGAAATCTAATAATACTTCTTTATATTAATATACATCTATTTGACAACAATAAGATCTAGCATCTTCTACGTTCAGTTTCTTAAATCAGTTCAGGTATTCAGTTTACAAATACAAGGTTACAATTTTATTATGTAGGTTGCAATGTTTAGTAGTAATTTCATACCAATTTCTATATTTATGGACCAGGACATTTTGGCTTCTATCTCTGTGTCTCTGTTTCTCTTTCTTGTGTGTGTTTATAACAGCTATGTAACTGTACTAATCATGACACTCATTGATTATGCAGGTATGTCTGTATGAGGTTTATACTTATATTACTTTTAAATTTGTCATTTCCCAGTCTGATAAAATTCATCACTCAAAGTGTTCATAATGAACCACAGCATATTAATTACCTTACTCATCATGTATTGTTTAGGCACCCTGGATGTAAAAGATAAATGTCTGTTCAGAGGCTTTTAGAAGCTACAGTTTAATGAAGAAATCTTAAAGCTAACAGAAATTGTAATACAGTAGATGTACAAGATACCCACAGAATAAACAGTAGAACTAGGCATGAATCTCATGAAAGTTTTAAAAGGTGATGCTGTGCAGAGCTGAGTTAAGGGCATTGCCTGGGTAGATAGGAACCATCAGTTGAGTGGACCAGATGGTGGGAGAGAAGGAAGATGCGTGCTTCTAGCCCTGTGCTTCTCAGAGTGTGACTCTCTAGGGATCCCCAGTGTCCTATTGAGAGAAGAAGAGAAGAAAACCATTCTTAAATACATAAGTGTTCTAAGATCTGCCTTTTTCTTAGAGCTGACCTTTGCTCTGGAGTTATAAAGGCACTGGCTTTAATTGCATCTTAGTTTTACACTTACACAGTGTATCCTGCTGTACTGGAGGTCACTGCACTTTTCACTGTAATTTATATGGAGGAAAAACACCTACCTTTACTTAAATAAAAAACTTTTAAGAAATGGTAACATTAGATTTTGTTTTTTTTAATCAAATCTTGTTTTTTTTTGGTTTTCTATGTCTTTATCTTGCTGACAAATGATTAATTAGCTTTAGGAACTTTTAATTAATCTTTTAAACATTTTGATTTTTGTTTGTGTGCATATGAAATCCCACATAGTATAATACAGATGTGTAAGTCAGTGAACAACTTTCAGTACTCAACTTTCTGCTTCTGTGATGTGTATTTTTAGGATCCAATGCAGGTCATCAGACTTTCTGGGAAACCTTTGTATCTGCTGGGCTAACTTGCCAGTAAATCAATATGTGTTTAAAAACATCAAATTAAATCCAGTCTTTTAATTGGAGCATAATGGAGGCAGAAGTAGGTGAATCTCTATGAATTTGAGTCCAGCATGGTCTATGTGGTGAGTTTCAGGTCAGCCAAAACTGCACAGGGAAACACTATCAATCAACCAGCTATTACTACCAACAACAAAATAATAATAATAATTGAAAAATCAGGATTCTACACAGTTCTCCAAATCAGAATAAGGTTTCATATTTTCATGTAGTTGAATAAGGAAAATGGTGGGAGGAAGGCCCTCACCTCACACTTGGCAATTCTTGCAAAAAGTTATTCCCTAAGGTTTTAATAAGTCATAAGAAGAGATATTAAATACAATTCTGTATTTGTTAAGTTCTTACAATATTCTATGAACACTTAGGTATGGGAAAATAAAGATGCAATGTCTATTCTTACATCTGGAAGTCTATGGTAAAGAAAATGGAAAGTAATATATATATATATATATATTATTTTCACATGGTTTCCCTCCCTAACTGCTTGATAACACATTATTGAAAATGCATCTCTTGAAGTCATCTCTCATTTTAAAAACATAGAAGCTCTTCATATAACTTTTAACAATGAATATTATGAAGAAATTGCTAATATGAAAAACAAGACAGAATTTTTCTTGGATAATAATATAACACCAATAATAATAATTATGGAATCAGAAAGCTGAGGAAACAGATGTGACATCACATGTCTGAGTACTCTGCTCCATCCTTTAAATCAAAGCCTCATATATGTCTGTGTATTGCCTCTTGTCTGGGCCACTGACTCCTGGAAAGTTAATAATCCTAAAGGCTCTGGAGCGCAGAAATGACCTGTGACCATCAACTTCCAAAGGAATGGAGTCAGAGCTGGTCATTCATGAAAGAGGTGGCTGCAATTTAAGGGCCAGGGTTAACTGAAAGTAATTACAAAGGCACTTGCCAAAGCGATGAACGCTGAAATCCAGGTTAAATAATGTTCACCCAAAAAGAATCTTAACATTCAATCTGTACACTCAGAGATTCTTCTGGAAGACAATTTTTAATTAATTTTTATTATATATAGAGTGTTCTGTCTGAATATATACCTGCATGCCAGAAGAGGGCATGAGACCTCATTATAGAAGGCTGTGAGCTTCCATGTGGTTGCTGGGAATTGAACTAAGGACCTCTGGAAAAGCTGTTAAACTCTGAGTCATCTCTCCAGTACAGAAGATAACTTCTTAAAAGAACTCTTCAGTGAGACAATAAATACAGAAAAATCTCAAAAAGCCTTAAGGCAGTGCATCGAAGTGACTGAAAACATATATCTCATGAAAGAAGCCAAAATTAGTGA